CAATTATTGCCTCTCCATTCGACGCAATTACGAGTGAAATCTGAAAGAAATGAAACCTCTGCTACCCCTGCTGCCCCTACTGCCGTCTACGAAAAAATCACAATTGAAAAAACTTTTTTTATAAAATGCTACAGTTTAAAATAAATTTGTTTATAACCTAACGGTATTGCAAACATTATACAAAATAAAAAAATTGCTTCTGAACTTTTAAAACATAAAACTTTCCACAAAGTAAAGCATAAATTTTTAATGTAATTTTCATTTTAGCAAACCGCAAGGCATATGTAAGGTCTAAACTTTCCATAAACAACCCACATTATCACCCAGTAATATATATTACAGACATACATATATACATATACATGTATGAGTATTAGTAAATGTGTACTGAAAATGATAGAGCGTATTTTTTTTTTGTGCGAATTTTAAAATTAAGTTGCCACACGAAACGGGGAAGTACACACGCCAAAGGAAAAGCGCAAATATTACAAATAAGCAAACAAAATAAAATTATTAGAATGCAGTCTGCTGTAATTCTTTGATGTGTATTATTTTCATTTAATTTCATTTTTATTTGTATGTTTATTTTTTTGTTGATAAATTCTACAATTAAATATTTTAATACAATTATGCCAATTGACATTAAAAAAACACTTCTCGACCAAATCAAACCGATAATCACCAATCAAAGTATTCGGAAACAAATTTTTATTAACACTCAAAAAGTCAGGATCCCTAAAAGACAACACCAAGACAAGAACTAAAGTAGAAACAAAATATTCTACCTACAACTAACCATGACAGTCCATCCGGTTCTTAGAAGTCAAGAGTTGAATGGCTTACAAAGCAATGTCGGCTTTCAGTGCATCTCTCAGAAACATACAACACCTTCACTAAGTGGACATCCATAACATCATAAATTATAGGTTTTCCTATCAGCGACAGAATTTTATAATGATGATTGACATGCTCAGAATATAACCCTGATCATAGACGACAATGATGGTAAACGGTCTCTAAGACACGAAAATAATTTCGTCTCTAGTCCTGGACAAAAGTATAGAAAATTAATAGATTATATCTCTTCTTTGTCGTGGCAATTCTTACTCAGATCACTTATCAGAATACTCCACCCCATTACTACTGCAGTATGTTAAGTATACGAACTGCAGGTTTGATAAAACATGAAAAAATTTTCATGTTATTACTGTCTAATTTAGGACACAAGATTTTAAAAACCCCGAAATCTTCTTGATTAATCCACAAGAAATTTGTCATCGCGATGGTTAATTTTAATATGCTTCTAAAGGATTTAAACAACGTGGTTCGTATCAAAGTAAATCTCTTTTGACCATCTTATCGCAATAAGATATTTTGCGATTTTCGGAATTCATCAGGGAGGTACATTTCATCACAATCCACGATTTCAGCGTTCAAGTTTCAATTTGTTTCTTAGCCGACTGTGTGTCTACAAAGAAAGTGATATTCGAAAATCAGATTGTAGTAGTCTATATAACCCTGATTGCTCTTATGATTTCGATTATCTCGCCCTGGCAGGCATTGCAGGTCTCTGGGAATCGGTATGATTGCTGTATCTGCAAATGTATACTCCCTCACGTTTAACTCTGCATTTTTAAGACATCTATATAGATGGTAACTGCAGAGTTACCGATCACAGATACCGACTACCACCTATTTTCACAAAAGTATAGAGTAGAAATAACAAAATAAATAACTAAAACTCTCAATATCATATATATTAACGATTATTTTCTGACATTCTCTATCAAGATATGTTTGAATACCACAAAAATTGGATCAATGGAAGAAAGAGCCATACGTAATAATACGTTTCCACTGGCTTCGTTAGACCAGTTAACTTGCTTGAAATTCAAGTATAATATTTTAAGCAATCTCAAGCAAGTTAACTGGTCTAACAAAGTCCGTGGAAGCACACTATAAAGATGTAACGTCATCATATTGAAGTCTGATGTTATATTCGGAAAATTGAAATGGATTGATTTTAATATTTTTTGTTACTGGAATATAAAATATAAAAATAGCTTTAACAGCAGATTCAATTTGAAATCAATTTAAAATCATTAGTAGCTTTTAAATGAAATGAAGAGTATGTCCAGAATTCGTATAACGTCATAACTGCATTGGTCCAAACAAAGTGGCAGGTATAAAAGAAATAATAAGTTTTGCTCATGAAACACAGTTTTAAAGCTGACTATTCAAAATAGATTATGCCAAATCCGAATCGACTGATATGTCAAAACAATGACATTTCCAAAATCACGCTATAATTGAATATTTATTGCCGGTGTCATATTTTGTATTGTTTTTTAATGAAACTAAGCCTATTCGGTGGCCATTTAAGTAATATTTTTAAAAATTCCAAACATATCTATCATAAAAATAGTATTAGTGCGAATGCCATGGCATTAAATGAAGCTAAACGTATTGCTGCCAATCAAGCAGTTGATGAATGGGTGAAACCTGATACTGCTATCGGTATTGGAAGTGGCTCAACCGTAGTTTTCGCAGTTGAACGACTTGCGCAACGAGTGCGTGAAGAAAAATTGAATATAACATGTGTGCCTACCAGCTTTCAAGCGCGACAGTTAATTGTGGAACATAACTTAAAACTTGGCGACTTGGACAGAAACCCCAAACTTGATGTAGCAATTGACGGTGCAGATGAGGTTGATAAGGACATGGTGCTAATTAAAGGTGGTGGTGGTTGCTTGCTACAAGAAAAAATTGTAGCTTCGTGCGCTAAAAACCTAATTGTTATAGCAGATTATACAAAAAATTCTCAGCGCTTAGGAGAACAATACAAGAAGGGCATTCCAATTGAAGTGGTTCCAATGGCCTATGTACCTATACAGGAGCATATATTAGATGTATTTGGAGGCAAACTACAGTTGCGTATGGCAGTATCTAAGGCAGGTCCCTGTGTTACAGACAACGGTAACTTTATTCTTGATTGGCAGTTTGACTCGGACTGCGCATTTAATTGGTGTGATGTGAACACTAAACTACTGCTTATACCGGGTGTGGTTGAAACCGGTCTATTTGTTGATATGGCCACTAAAGCATATTTTGGCATGGCAGATGGCAGCGTTAAAACACAAGAAAATGATCAATGCTCATAATTCTCCTTCAAATAATATTATTTTTAATAAAAAACTATAGTTTGTAGTGTTTTTTCTTTTTTAATGTCTTACAAAAAATAATAAATAATTTTGTCACTTCATCTCTAGAAGAATGTATATGTTATTGCTTTTTCGTCTTTGTTACTTATGTTAGTATTTAGTGGGACTTAGTTACCTACTCCAAACTCCAAAGTCAGATGGTGTCAACCTTTTAAAATGACTTCTTATTGCGCGATGGAAATATTGAATCTTTAACGTAATTGAAAAGCGATAGTAAGCCTTGCTTTTTACCACGTGCGAAATAATGAGTCACAACATCCTGATCGCCTAAAATCGAGAGAAATGTTATATTTAATTACTTTAGTTTAGTATGTATTAAACTCCATCTTAGTACTATTGTGTAAAAATGTACATTCAAATAAAAAAAGTCCTAATCGTCGCAATGTTAAATTTTCTTTTTAGTTATAAAAAATAGTGATATAATTACTAGGAACTTGCCACTTTAGTTTTATGACATCTCTGTTAATGGCGGATAATGACTGCAATAATTTATTCAATCTAATCAAGTGTATATGTATGTTGTAATTTCAGTTTATAGCAGCGCCAGAACAGTTGGAATGGGCCTGTTACTTAGCTTGTAACCTCGACCTAGACTAGTGTTAATTATACCCAATCACACTTTCACTCCTCTAGCTCACGCAACTGTTATTCTCATTCTATCTTCGTGGAATGAATGAACGCGACACCCAGATGCTCATGACACCGGTGAACTTAATACAGTTTCGTGTTTAGGTTGCTCTTGGAGCAAAGACAAGTTTTAGTAAGTTGTTGGAATACCTCCAACGGTCAGAGAGCCAAACAGCATATTCGAAATATGCAAATATTGCTTCCTCGTAATATATTCTAATATTCCGTACAGATAATGTAAATTAAAATCTCTTATAATTATATTAATAAAGCATACAATTTTTAAGGCTTTTACATTTAAATTAAAAAAATTTACCTCTCAGATAGCTGTTCTCATTCACTGTAGGAAGGACATTGTCATTAGCGTTTAATGAGACGAATAACGCAAACGGCACAATCCACAAGCAAATCGTAAAGTACGCCAAAACCTTGAATGACAACAACTTTTATTAAGCAATCAAATATACCAACTATAAATATATAATATACCTGTGTAAAAGGAAAATAATAGCTTGTAAAATACTGAAAAGCCAATAAATGATTAATAATCAAAAATATAACAGCGCCAATGAAAGGTACTGACAGAAATCGTATAGTCGGAAAGTTACGCATAATAGAAAAATGAAAAACTTGTGCAGCAAAACCACATAATACCATCTTCCAAGGCAGATCATCGAAGAAAATAAACATTATATATACGATGGTCGTAGATATGATCATTAATAAAATCGCCCGCCGCGCAACTGTAATGTATTCTTCGACCAACTCAGCCAAATAGTATAAGCCAGCAGCTAAAATATAGCATAAATAAACACACAACACAATTCATGAATAATGTTTACCTATTGAAATGGTGACAAAGCATACTTGCAGCACCAACGAAACCCAACTAAGTATGTATAAAAACGTCATGTTCTGGCAATTCTCTTTGTTTACTCATCAGAAGAAAGTGCACAATTATTTCACCTTATTTGCATTATATAATATGTGTGCAATTAATATTAAATTTTTGCCTTTAATTGAGATACTTTATTTACACAAATTTTGCCAAATCAACTTTGTTATTAAAATAAATAGAAATTCGGCAAATAAACGTCAGTTGTGACGTTTGAAGTAGCACAGCTGATTATTAGATGCAATTCACAATAGACATTGATGCCAATCTGCCAAAAAGGCGCGTGGTGTTCTATAGGAAACAGAATTTCGTCAAGACGCAAAACATTTATCAACTCGGAGATACTATTTGCACATTGTCAATTGTTTTTAAGTAATAAATATGAGTAGCACATAAATTAAGGTACGATATCAACAAGTTAGAGATTTGGAAATTATGCATAAATTTCTAAAAAAGCAATCATTTTTAATATATTGACGTTGACGTTGACGTACCGTAGTATTTTAAATAGCTTCGTAAAGGTACTAAATTTATTTCGAAAAAAAATTAAATCAAATAACAATGCCACCAAGTGATGAAGATAGGTTACCAAATAATGAAAGAAACAGAACAAATAATGACGAACAACAACAGAACTTGCAGGTTAATCCACAAGAAATACAAGATCCAGTAGTTCATGATGAAATATGGCCTTTAAATTTTCATTTGCAGAATGCGGAAATGAATGCATATGACGAATTTTTGGCAGAGATCGCTGCTCGCCCTATTCTTATGCAGGATGCTTCAACTTCTACTAACAACGAAGGAAATAATGCACAAAGTGGAATAGCTGAACTAAACGATATGCCAGCAGTATTGCAATTATGGGAATCAAAACACACACAGCCGAATTTCGATCCAGTTCCCTTATTAATAAAGTAAGTATATGTAATAATAAATATTTTTTTTTACTTATTTACGAATGCTGAAAACAGATTGGCTGAAATATTTGAAAAAGAGTTTGATGTATACATGCGTAAAGATCCAGATCCTTTCGATGAAAGACATCCATATCGCACAGATCCAAGTTGCCAGTATGGACTCCTACTTAAGCAACTATTTCGTAAAGAGACTTTTATGAATAAGGCAAGTAGTCCGTTCAGTATAGTTGTAAGAAGATATCGTTTCTAATGACTCACAATTTTATTTTCACAGCTTTTAAATGACTATTTACGTGATAATTATTTTTCACGCCACAATGTAAACAAAAGTTCATTAGAATTGAATATCATTGCATGTCGCATTATATTAACCATTATGCCTGGTATGGAAACTTCAGCGGTGTGGCAAGATGAGGTAGATACTCTTATAACACGTTTATATAGTTGGGCAGAAGATAGTATAGAACCACTACAAAGTTATGCTACTGGCTTATTAGCATCTGCAATGGAAGTTCAAGAAGTCGTTATGTCTTTTCGTGAATATAATGTACGTTTAGTGCCAAAACTCCTCCGACGCCTGCATATGTTGCAAGCGTTTTATAAGCCTTCAAACGACTTTCAATCGCAAATAACACCAAATACCAGTGAACAAAATTCTGCAAACATCTCAGTCGAAGCGGAAGCAACTTCAGTTGTACAGCGGAACCTACCAAACTGGATGGTTGACTCCGCCCCGCAATCTCCACAACGTGTAGAAGAATGTCCAATACAAAACGCAACGACCTTAACACAGGATAGTGTAGCCAATAATTCCAATTTATCATTGCTATTAGAAAATAGCCGCGATGCTCTAATAAATGGCAACAACGCTAGAAAACTATATATTCCCATACATCCTCCAACATCAGAGACTAGTCAAATGCTTATTTTGAGATTTTTAACTGCTATGGGAGAGTATCAGGACTTACTTGGTTTGGTTTTTGAGAACAATACCTTACAGCTTATAAATGGTTTCATAACAAACATTGACAGAGGAGATACTAGACTGGCATTTGAAGCATTGAAGTACCTGGCGTCGCTTTTGGTACATAAAAAATTTGCGTTACTATTTATTCATTGGGGTGGCTTGGAGGTAATGCCTTGAATTTGTAATTGAAAACTGTATGTATACAATTGAATTTTCATTCAATTGAATTTCTTTTCAGCATTTACTTAAAGTGCCGCATTCCAGCCTGGCATCTACAGGTGTTGCCATTTGTCTCTATTATTTGGCATATTCTGAAGATGCCATGGAGCGTATTTGCACTATGCCAAAGTCCCTTATTAAAGAATTAGTTTCATATGGCTTGTGGCTACTGGTGCGTTCTTATGATTCCGGAAAATGTCATGCTACAATGTTTTTCGGCTTAAGTTTCCAGTTCAAAGTCATACTTGATGAATTCGATAACCAGGATGGATTGCGAAAATTATATAATGTGGTATGTGCACAAATAGTTCATTTAGAAATAGCTTGTTTATCTTAATTTTTCGTAGACCGCGATTATGAAAATACTTAATCCTACTAGCAGTGAAGACAACACAGAAACTAACGAGGATGTAGAATGTGCGTCAAGACAGTTGGTGCGTCATGTATGTGTCGCATTAAAACGTTACATGGAAAGTCATCTGTTTTACAAATTTAATGACTACATGCGTTCGCAGTGCCCGACATCGACTAACTTTTCCAAAATTATTACAAAAGCAACCAAAGCGAATTTGGAGCAAATTAATGAACAAGTGCGAATTTTACAAGAACAAATCACTTTGCGTATGTTCTGGAAACCGGTAGACCAACTGTTGCGATTAGGGGGTGTAAAATTACTATTAAACATAATTGCTTTGTCGTATGACTGGACGAACAGCGGAAAGTACGTATGCTTGTTTATAAATATGTTTGTATGCTATTAATAACTTAATAAATTACTTATATTTAAAATATTTAGAGCGGAAACAATGCGTTCAGCGCTCGACGTACTATCGATATGCTGCGTAATGCCACAAGTATATCAGGCACTTTGCAATCGGTTAGAGATTCCAGACAATACGATATCCTCCGGGATGTCGGCAATATTAGGTTGTGCTGCTGGTGAAATTGCAGATGGTGAGGTGCAAAAATCCGCTCTAGCAGTGGTTTGCAATTGTGTTTGTTCACCACTTATGAAGGTTAGTTTTTATAATTTGGAAGAAAGCTTGAACCACTAGTTCAAAGCCTTAGCGCTTTATATTTATTTTTATTCATATATGACACTTACGAAAATAATTGCTTACAAACCAAATTTTTTCCATTTTAGAAAGAACTAAATACAAATAGATGTTTAAAGGAACCTTCAACTACCAAGGCTTGGAACGCAACGAGACGTATGCGAAATACAAAATACATTGAAGATTTGGTACAAAAAGCTTGGGAATCTGTCTGCTGTAATAGTGGTATTATTGTGCTGTTGATGTTGGTACAAGTTAAAGCACCAATAACGGACGCTGATTGCATACGCGGTATGGCGTGCAGAGCATTAGCGGGCCTGGCACGTTCAGAACGTGTACGTCAGATAATTGGAAAACTACCGCTCTTTGCTAGTGGGCAAATTCAAACACTAATGCGAGATCCTATTTTACAAGAAAAACGTGCTGAGCATGTGATATTTCAAAAATATGCGTTGGAGTTATTAGAACGTGTCTCGGGTAAAGCAAAACCAACTAACAATCAACTAGATCCTTCACTAGCCAATATACACAAAGCAAATGTTATAGCCCAGACAAAAATACAATATAATGAACAACAATTGCTGCAATTAATATGTGAGCACTTAGATTCGAAAGGCTTAACCCAATCTGCACAGGCTTTGCAAAGGGAAGCTGGCTTGCCTTCACCAATCGTTACTACAAAATTCTTCCATCAGTCACCATTCGACTATAAAGCTATGTCTTCTTCGTCCATGGGTAGAATACGTTTACGAAATCGGATGCAAGACGTCCAAGCAGCCATTTTGTATTGTTCAAATGACCAAATTAATGAGGAACCAAGTGCAAATAACTCACTAACTGCAACCCCCATAAAACTTGTTAAGAAAGGAGAAAAAGCACATAACACAAGTATAACAAATTTGAATACATCGAATGTATCCTCACAGCGTTCACTTCAGAAGCAAATTACCTCCTATTACCACGATAACACGTTGCAAGACACTGATGGTATACCTAAGATCAACAGCATAAGTCTTAATACTATTGTTACGGAATATTTAACTAACCAGCATGCACTGTGTAATAATCCAATGACAACATGCCCACAATTCGATCTGTTTACTCCGCATAAATGTCCCGATCCGAAACCAAGTCGTGTACTAAACAGTCTTCATAACTTGACCGCCCGTGTATTTAGAGCACAATCCGGTTATAATACAGCTACTTTGGATCGACGTTATGTTCATACAAACATCGCACCATGGCATAGCATACGTTCCAACGATTACAATGAAACGCAATTCTCCTGTTGCTCCTTCCTGCCAAATTCAAATCTAATACTTTGTGGTACACAGCAAGGCGATATCAAAGCTTACAACGTCAACGATTGCACCGAAGTGTTCACATTTGACTGCTGCAGCGACTGCATCGATGTTATAAATGCCAATCGCAGAGGTAATTTAATACTTACCTCATGCTCTTGGCGTACGTCCATGAGCATACTTTGGTCTTTAAAAAATAATGAAGTGATGCACGAACTTGACTTTCCTGAAGACACTTATTGTGAATTCAGTAGTCTTGCACAGGATAAAGTACTGGGTACAATGGCTGAGGTAAATACAATATTATTTCCAATGTTTGAAAATTGCAGATTTTAATTCGAAAAAATATTTTAGATTGCACATCTTTATGACCTTCCAACTGGAAAAATAATAAGTACATTTAAGCCTTCAATATCGAATCAGTATTCGAAAAATCGTGCTACATTTCATCCCACCGAAGAGATAGTATTATCAGGTAATTCAACAGCTCGATTGAGAGTATTTTTTATTTGCATTTATCTTTTAGATGGAGTACTTTGGGACATAAGGGTACATAAGGAAATTCATAAATTTGATAAATTAAATCAAACACTTTCTGGGGTATTCCATCCAAATGGCTTAGAGGTTTGCATGTTTTATTTTATTAAATTAAAAATAAATATATCAATCGATTTTGTTTGTTAGATAATTTCCAACACTGAAATTTGGGATATGCGTTCTTATCATCTGTTACAAACAGTGCCTGTACTCAATCAGTGTTTCGTGAAATTCTCACCTATGAATGTACTTTACGGCTACAGCTTTGACAATGAGACTCGCCACGATTTTGATGAGAATAATACGTATGATACAAGCTTTAAAGTCCTCGACCTCTATGACTACACCAGTATAACAACAATTGATGTGAAGCGTTACATACAAGATATGAGCATACACCATAATGGTTGCACTTTGGGGACAGTCGAGCACCATATGGGTTACGATTCAAAGCAGGAGACATATGTTAAAATGTACTCCGTCGGCATGAAAAGATTTGATCATGAGGATGAGGTGCGTGCTGGTTCAGCTAACATTAACTCACATCGTGACACACTAAGCCCTGATAGTAATTTATATATGGTGAATTCCTTATGAATTCGCTTATTAGAAGGGCTACCACTACGGCAGTGTTGTTGTAGTCGGTAAGATTGCTGCGATGCGCCTAGATGGTGCTGGTAATATTCAAATCCATGTACATCGTTATATATATAATAGTTAATTATGTATACAGACAACGCTAATATAGACGCTGTAGCAGCAATCGTCACAGTCAAAACTAATTTTCGTGCAATCTCAAATAATTTAATCTTTATGATTACAGGAAGATGAAGAGGATCAAGACAGTGATGAAGACGCAAGTGAAACAGATTCAAATGATCCAAGTAAGTTTAAAAAAAATTATTTTACAAAACGTTTTTTACATTTTTACTAGTTTCGGAGGCAAAGAAAATATTTTACATGAGTTTAGTCTCTGTCTAAGGTATGACCGACGTTGATTCAACTAGCTAGAGAGTTACTTTCCAGAAAATCTCAGTCCGATCTCTCCTTAACACCCATTTAAATTCTTTATAGTAGCCTAACGAACCCTTTGGCTTAAGTGTGTTTTTAATATGTAAACTTGTATGCAATGCTTAAGAGATGAATTTAAAAAAAATATATAATAGCTGTAGTAAATAGAAATTCATTATTTTTGTATGAAAGTGAAAGCTTATTTACCATAGCTAGAATGATCCGATTTAGGTTCATTCTTGTTCATTAATCGGTTGCCATTTTGAAGTTAATTTCATGACCTCTGTGCCTCTCTCATAGAAGTCATCGGCCCTTTTGGCAAAAAATTGACGTAGTCAAATTGTACAAGCCTCTCTTAATGCGAATTTTTTACCAGAAAAATCGTTCACCATGGACAGGAACAGATAGATTATAAGGTGGATGCATAACAACTTCCCAACCAAAATCCATTCCCGGAGTTTTTGGCGAGTCATTATCGATGTGTGTAGCCTGGCGTTATACTGATGGAACACAATTCTCCTCCTATTGCCCAAAGCTGACCATTTCTGGGCAATTGCTTTTTTCAAACGGTCCAATTATTCACAGTACAGTTCTGAGTTAAGAGTTTTGCCATAGGGGAGCAGCTCATAGTAGATGACTCCCTGCCAATCCCAACAAACACACTGCAAAAGCTTTCTGACTAGTCAATCCTGACCATTTCGGGCGGCTTACCGCGATTCGACCACAACCGTTCTTGCTTGAAGTTGTCGTAAGTGATCATTAATCACTTTCCATTACCAGCCTTATTTAAATAATTCCAAACGGATTTTTGTGCTCTTGTGATCCTTAGTCTTGGGCAAACGAAACAATCCTTACATGGCAGTTGGACTCGATTTCATCTACATTTTCGACAAAAGAAGAATTGTAATGTATAAGTAGTCTTAGTCTGAGACCCTTTATTTTCATATATTCTTAATTTTTGTTTGATATTTTTTTTTTTTGGTATATCATACTATATGTATATTATTAAAAAGATAAATTATTGATTGACAGAAACAGTATATAATCTCGTAGTGAAATGTCAATATCTATAGTTTAAATAAGATATAAAGATAGATATTTATATTCTCGTTATTATTATTATTACCTGAATAAATCTGTTGTGGGCTATATATTGAGGCTTTTTATAAATTTTAGCACAGTTTGAGTTCTATTGTTCCATAATTTATTTGAACGTATAATAATACCACCTTAGTGATAAAGCCTTTGTCTATGAAGAGCAAGAGATCTACTAAGAATATTAAACCCATATTAGCTTCGATTTTGTACAATATAACAAGTGAAAAGAATTTCCTGATAGTAAAAACTTTTTTTTCTTCTTTTAGTTGTTGAAGTTCGACCAGATGGAGTTTATTTCCGAAGACGCACAAGACGGCGAAATCGACGTAACATAAATTTTCATAATGTTGTTCCAGATGGTGAAGCACAAGAAGATGATGATGATGATGATGACGACGATGATGAAGACGATGACATTGATGACGAGGATGTGATAAATTTATTTGAAAATATGGAAACGGATTCGGATAATAATGAAGGTAAACTAATAATTGAGTATAATAAATGATTTAGAAAAAAAAAACAAAACTTTATGATTACAGATGGCGAACAAGAGGAGGGTGGATCAGATGAAGTTGAACTGAATAGTGATCCCGACAGTACGTCGTCGGAAAATGAATTCGATGAATCTCGTTTTAGACTTGCGTAAAAAAAGTTGTGTAACTATTCTTTAGAAAAATTAAACAAAAATTAAAATTGGCACAGCTAATAAATCTTTAATTTAAGTAAATTGAATAATAGTATATAGAGCAAATATGCAATTGCAAAAGTATCGAACATCGGTAAATGTAAATTATTATATTTCAATAGATTAATTTATATATATAATGTTTCTATGTTTATTTTATAATGTTCAAGTAAAAATATATGTGTAAAACGCAGTAAATAAAGTTTATATATTTGTAAAATACTGATTTTAGTATTGTGAATGCCTTCTACGTTGTAGCTCTAGAAAATGTTATACATCATACACAACTTTTTGTATTAAAAATAAGCAACATTAATAGATTTCTATACTAAATAAATATATATATATATATTGATATATTTATATACTTTTGATAGTTATAGATACTGTTCTCATATTTAAGGAACATCAACGTTTTATATAGTCATCAAATTATGACAAAAATTATAACTGAATAGTTATTTACATTGCACTAAACAGTTCCCAAGAGGGAATGGTTTTATATCTAATATATTAGCATTACAGTCATTTCCAATTTAAACTATAAGTCAGTAATTCGGATAGTTAAATTATTTGTATAATTGGTTAATTTTAACAATGAATTGATTATGTTTATATATTGTAATGCGTTTATGGACTCAGTCATCTAACTTTTCCATATCATATGAAATATGTAATATTTAGCAATTACCTATAGCTTAGAATTTACTTCGCATATTCAAAGAATGTTTAGTTAGATCTGCTATTGATAAGAAAAATTGTAGCATATTCTATAAAATAGAAAAAAGTGAACCATATATACAACAGTATTCCTTACTATATAAAAATGATTGTTTTTGAGTCTAATCAAAATATGAGGGCTCGTAAAATAGCGTTTTTAATTTATATTATAAGTTTATTTTTTGTTCATATACTATGTCTTATTTTATATAAATTAAAGATTTACTTTTTGTCATTTAAACCATCTAAATAAATACTAATAATATATTTGGAACATTCAACTGAAAATATAAAACGAATTTAGTTTTTGTGAAATTACAAAGATACAATATTATACTTTCTTACAGCATAGGTCGTTAATAAATAATAATTAATTGTTTAAGTTCCTTTTAAATATACTAACTATATATAAACGTCATTGTCAACAATTTTGCTTATAAATATTTTTCGATAATATAAATAAATTATCAGGATTTATCAGCTACAAGTATACGAATAAATTTTATTTTTTATTACCATTTAAATTAATTTGTTAATTAATTGCTATTTTAACAAATATGCTAAAAATAATATATGTGCTGCATATTATATATTTACATAGGTATTTATTAACTAAATAATGCATTGTTATTGTGATTAGACATATATAACAATAAGGCTTTTAATTCTCCATAACATATTGGAGCGAATACTTACTTTTGATTAATATTTTTATACATTAATAATTAGCTTACGTATTACCGTTTAAGTATACAAAATATGTGATAATATTAAATGATTAAAATTTGATCTGATAATTAAAAATATATTTACGTCAATAAAATGATATGTTGATACTGAAAAAGTTTTGATGGTTTCCCAATGTCTGCCTATCTGAACTCGAATAGTTAAATAATTATTATGTAAAGCACGGATTGTATGTAGTTTGGATGATCAATCTTATTAATTGAGAAAATGAGGGTAATAGGAATGGATAATCAGTGGATTTAGCTGGAAGTGTGAGAAACTACTCAGCATGAGGTAAAATGTGAACAGAGTGAATAGAAATTATTAAAGTGTACTATAGTGCAGGAACCCTCATATTTCAATTAAACAGTTCCTTAATTTAATTTGGGTAGTGGGACAATTTAGAATATATGTGACGTCATTAGGTGTTAGAGCTATGTATGAGTTATGTTAAAAAAGATGAAATTGGTATCTGATTAATCGTTAAGGATACACTGTTTGAATAAGTTAAACCAAAACAGGTCCTCAGCATTAATAATAAATATATATTTATTATAAATATACTTGTTAGATTTTAATTTGGTCTTACCTCGCTTTTTTTGTATTAAAAAGTAGAGACAGTATTGAAATATTTAACAAAGTCCATTACTGGACTTCCATTGCTGGATCTACGACATCCTTCTATATAAACGTTGTATTAGGATCCTGATAAATTAAGTAATTTAATACATACCATTGAGCTTTAACCTCTAAGGTTTCAAATTGTAACATTTAAAGAATCTTAATAACAAATATTCTTAACTAATGTTCTTAGATATAAACAGATATGTATGTATTAGAATACCAAAAAATTCTTTTGTTGCCTTATAAGTTTGACAGTCATATATACTCGTTTAATCAAGTAGTTCTTAACTTTTGTTCTACTTTTCAAACTCGCGCAAGACTGGCCTGAATTGTAGTATTTCTTAAAACACCCACAGTACTCGTTATGGGAATAAGATATCAATTTGTAGCAGATAATATTGCAGACATTCTGCGCTATGCCTTATTATGAAGAAGCAATTAAAACCGAATACTTTTAAACTGATTTGCATTGATTTCTGTCTAGTATTTCTTAGTTTAGCTTAAAAAAATATAATATTCTAGAACAAAAGATGTAGTTGAAGTTTCCCAGATTAAAGATATTACATATATATCCATCAATTTAATAATGTAAATATTAAGATTTACAGACTCTATATAGCCTACCCAAAATCATGTGGTTGAAAACTTGACCGATTTACTGTAGACCTGTTCTTTGACACTATAGTTCAGAGTTAGTTTTAGCTTTTCTAATTAATTTTGTTTTATTATTATTTTGTATTCTACATTTCGTGTTGATGTATTGAAACCTTCCATTAAATTATTTTTTTAAAGTACCCGATAGGTGTGTAGCGCCTAATGACGTCTTGATTTCTTCGTTTAGGAATGCGTAAAAGGTATTACTGAATTCATTTTCTTGATATGTGATTCGAAAAATAATTTCAAAGCAAATAAATAATAATATTAGAAAATAACTCAGTTTATAAATCACGATTTTGAAAGTTATCTTATCTTATCGGAAAAAGAGACCCAAAGCCTTTAAAAATATACAATCAAAAAATCATTCAAACCAATGTGATGATTAATGTAATTTTAACTGAACTATTTTTGAGTTATGGATTTATTTCAGTTCATTTAAATATATTTTTAATGAGTAATTAAGTACTATAAACACCTAAATAGTTATTCTTGTAAAAGGTTTGTTTAAGGGAAATACTCAAACTTAAATCTTTTGTTTAGTTAAGAGTTTGTAGTGACAAAAATTAATAATATAACAATCTAATTGATTGTAAAAAAGTTATATTTATGCAGTTGATTTATTAGAGTTGCATGCCCAATGGCAACGATTGTCCGCCTTGACCTAACTAAATATAACAGCGGAAAATGATGACAGATGTACAAATCCTTAGTAGGTAAATACAATAACATAATTTCATGTAAATTATGTATTATTTATATTTGTCAATACATTTTTATTAGTTCTGAAAAAATATTTCCAAGTAAAATTTATTTTCGTTTTCACATACCAATAAACAACTTTGTTGTTCGGAACAGAAGGTAGTTAAAAAAGTCTAATATAGTCACAAAAATGATTTAGCGATAATTGATAAACAACAACAGAAACTTCTGCTGAAAATGAATCAAATATTTCCTAATGAATAGTTTTAGTAGTAATACACCTGAGTTCTAGAGACTTATCACTTAAACCCTTTTAACGACATAAGTCGAAAATTTATGCTATTAAAAAACGGCAACCCTATAATATATATGTAGCCCGTCTGATAAATCAATAATAGATGTATGTTATTTAGAACACAATGTAGTTAAAAAAAGTCTAACATATTCTAAATTGCTAAAACGATTTAATGATAACTGACAAACATCAACAGAAACTTCTGCTGAAACCAAATCAAATCATTCTTAATGAATGGTTTTAGTAGTATTACATCTAAGTTCTAGACTTATCACTTAAACCCATTTAATGGCATAAGTCGAAAATTTGTGCTATTAAAAAACACCAACCCTTTATATGTAGCCATTCTAATAAATCAATAATAGATGTATGTAGATATCTGGGTCAAGTGAGAAGAGGCGAGAGTCCTTCTCCATAAGCTAGAAGACTATTTTAATTCCATATTCTTCGCAGTTTTAAAGAGAGAATTTGTGGCACAACTGAAGTTTAAATTACAATTTGCAAGAGTTGTACGACTATAAATAGTTACTAAGACATCAACTCTAGAAACATCAACGCTCCAGTGCTCCAAGCCTTAGAATTGCATAATTTTCTTCTAGCGTTTATGGATTTTTGGGCTCATTTAAATGATTTATAGAAAATTTCAACAGACCTTTTGAATCTCAAACCTTCATTTCGGGTACATGGATATAATAATTTTTACTGATGAATTCAAGTATACAATACTTGAAACACTTAAGTTAATCCGCACAGTTTATTTTCATTTAAAAGTGTTGCGTTTTTCATGCTAACTCGTAATAAAAATTATAGTATACTTTCGTAACTATTGTAGGGCACAAGTCAGTAACGAATTGCCGGTTAAAAACTTAGCGCCATTGAAATGATTCAATTTTTTTGAAGTTTCAGTCAAAGCGTTTAGTTGTAATTTTGTGCTTCAATCGTGCACTAGTTTTTAATTGAAAATAAAATAATAAATTATAGAAATGATAACTTATTAAAATATCATTAATAGTATTTTTCAATTAACATTAGAGAACCGCATAGTAAATTATTTAAATCAATTAAAATAAAATATTTATTTAAAACGATGGAGTACAAATTTTTAATAGCCTTTTTATTCGTTGCGACGTTTAACTTAAATTTTTCCCATGGCTATGAGGAAAATAATCGCTTTTGCATACATACGGAACCCATGCTTCTGGCTGATATAGAAAAACATGTAAATCCGATAGAAGGTGATCCGCATTGTGAGATCCTAGCAACCACAATGACTGCTAAGGAAAAGGTAAATGGTATATCAAACTTAATAGGACTTAAAAGTGATATGATAGAACTTTACTATTTAAAATACTTTAAATCACTAACAATTGCTAATAAAATATGTGTACATAGATACTTTTAATGTTATATAAAAATTTTTGTTAATTATTTGCAAAATTATATTTTATGAATTTTTATGCAATTACTTACAAAATGTGTGACCGCATAGATAAGACCAATAATGTGTTCTAATGAATTTTTTTTTATTTCAATTTACATTTAAAGAAATATTTAAGTCTTCAGATAAACTGAATATAAAAAATTATTTTTAAAAAATATTTTTTTTATATATTTTTGTCGCAATGGTTAATGGTAGATCATTTATTTTCTCTCATCATTTTCAAGTCTCTCTTAATTTAAGAGTTCGATAAATTATGTTCACTAATTCGTTATTAAATTTTATTTAACATATGATTGAAACTCATATAACCTGAGTTTTTCCTACATATACGGTAACACAATGGGCCGATAGACCTAAGTGAATCCACCAATGAACACCAGTATAACCTAACCTAACTTAAACTTATATAAACACTTCCTTTTGGTTTGATTTTAAAGTTGATTATGGAGCTCTTTAATTTCTTAATACAATATAGATATGAGATAAGTTAAAAACTCAGATTTAAAATTTATAAAATAATTTCTGTAAAGAAACCCTGTGACGGTTTTTCAATACACACGATTTTGGAATTCGTAATTTTAGATCTCCTAAAAACATCTATCTATCGACTTTTTAGTCTTCAACTTGTTCTAAAGGGATTTAATTTTCTTTTAAGGTGCCATTTGTGTTATAATTCGAATTTTGAAAATTATGACTAAAATTTCTTATTGGCTTCGTATTTAGGTGCTTCTTTTCAACTTACTTACTTATTTACCCAAAACAACCCATTACCGGATTTCGGCCTGACGCAGCAACTCTCTCTAGTTGCTTCTGGTGCGTGTACGCCTTCTCCAGTCTCATACATCAAGTCTGTTTAGTGCTCCATCAGCTCCATTTCAACGTTATAGCGAATACTGAAGTTATCATCTTCTATATTCCAGGAGGCCATAGATTTTCCAAGGCACAAACGCATATCGAGTAAATAGTTTACATATTATAAAGTTTATAACTCTTAGTAGAAACTTCTATTTGGTGTGTCTAGTACACTTTATTAACTGTGATTAGTTATACGATCTTTACTTGCTAATCAAGTGTCAAAGAACTTAATCCTGAAATATTTCAATTCTTGCACTTGTTAAAAGTAGTAATATTAGAGATCTCTAATAGTTTTCCACTTTGTGTAAGAATATGGTACTAGAGTTTTTCCCATTTTTAATTTCGCTATTTTATTTTTATTAAGAAAAAAATTAATTTTTTCACATATTAGGCAAGAGAGTTCAATCGAAGCAGTTCACCTTAAGCTTCCATGAAATGCACAGAATATTGAGTACAAGACAAAATCGTGTCAAACGAAATGAATCTAATTCCAATTATGGTAAGGCAAATAACAAGTAGAACCACTTGAAACAAGTTGTACTTGAAATAATCCTTAAATGATATATATCAACTCATCGATACTATTTTCATTTAAAGAAAATTAGTTTTTTGATTGGCAAAATTAAACACTTCAACATCAACATAAAGTTTCATGCACAAAAGTGACGTACAACCACTTGAACTTCTAGGTTTTTTTTCCGTTTAAGTATTGATCCACTTTCGTCATTACATAAACTATATAGACTGGATTTGCGATACTAGAACGATTGAAACTGATAAGGCAAATAATTATCATACGCTGATAAATTAAAATATGAAACTAGACGAAGTACTCAATTCGCTACAGATTTCACTTGTATATTATTTATCTATCTACACATATGTATATTTTATAGTAAACCACATTAATTAGTATAGATAGATTGTTTTAGATATATGTAGAAATACAATGCAAAGACCTCTGTTTATATGTTATATAGACATTTGCAAACAAGGTAGCTTCTCTTAAATAAAAAAAAATTAACGACCTCATTAAAGTTCTCCCTTAAAATATTAGTGTTATAGTAGGATTGCTAATTTCTCAATATAAGAAAATATTATTAGGCATTTAAATCTACCCACCAACAACTTTTGCCGTAGCTATGATAAGGATCACAGAATTGTTTTACATCTATCTAATATAGTTCAGCGGCAACGTCGTTAGAGGTTGGTGCGATAGGGCAACGCTCAAAGGCGAGTGAAATGAAGAGGTTCCATGTGTGCCCTTAGTGCAGCTTTTCTCCCCATGACGTCGCCCATCTGTTCATCTGTCCTTCTGCACACACAAACCTTCGTCCAACTTACGTTTGGACTCACCCTATTGTAGTGGTCAGGTTTCTCCACCTAGATTCGGGATGACGTTCAATATAAACCTCCTACCGAATTCCTCCACAAAAATGTAGCTAATATTCCAAAAATATGATAGATGAAGTACAAAACAAACTCTGTTATAAATTATTAAAAAAATATATAAATACTCATAAACCAAAAATAGTTCCGAATGAATCATATATGTAAACGTATAAAAGCAGAAAAAATTAGTTATCAGCATAGTTAAATAGTTATAAGTAAAGCATGGATCGATAAAATATTTCCCCCATTACTTTTACTACTTTAAAGACACTTTAGTTTATTTTGTTTTGTATTTAGTTTATTTCGGTAATGTTGAAATGTTTGCTAACCTATTGTGTTATTCCTTTTTTAGGAATCGTTCTTCAATACAATGTGTAAGGATCACGGCACCACACACAAGGATGATTATTCCTTCCTCAAATTAAAAAATGGAGACTTATCAAAACGCGGCTCATATCACGAAATATGCAGCGGAAAAACAAACCCACTTTTAGCTTGGGTACCTTATGCAATGATACAACAAAACTACGCACAAGAGTTGAATCCTTTAGAGGTAAGTCGAAGCATTTGAGTTTATTTCAATTAAATAATCAATTCAATTATGATTTATCTGTGTTACGGATAATCAATAGTTTGAATAGATCAACATATTTTTTCTACTTCAATAGATTTTATAGTTCCTACAAGTAAAATATTGTAGTTATTACTATATGTTAAACAGACCCGTAGCCAGAAATTTGATTCTGGAAGGTTGACAGGCAATATTAATATTTCAAAAAACAAAATTTATGTTATTAAATGTTCATGGTGCAATAATAATGTATATACCATATATATAAATTTAAATCTTCTATTCCTTTCGGGGGAACTTCAGTCTCTCAACCCCTGTTAATAAAGTACTACATTTTATCTAATATACTATATAATATTTATAATACATATATCTAATCATCACTTAAAATTGTGAATAGTTTATTATATATTGATTAGTATAAAATGAAAAAAGGATCGAAAATACAATTTAAGAGGATAGATATGCTTAAGGGATGATTAAGTAGTAAGAATTGAATTATGAGATGGGGAAACAGAATTTATTCAATTTCGGATGCATTAGTATTTTGGAGCGGACAAGGACAAGTCAATAGGGACCCAATGTTATAAAAAGAATAAAATTATACGGGGTTATGTGGAGTGAAGTTATAGTTAGGATATACAGTTGGAAATTATATGTATATTAGAAATAAGTAATTGTATAAAATTTGATTATAAACTAATTTAAAATACTTGCATGCAGCAAGCTAAGCCAGAGTAGTATAGAATAGCCAGCTGTGCCATACAATACAGTACAGTATGGTAGAGTTGTGGGATTGTCTGTCGATGCAAGCATATTGACAAAATTCTAAGAAGTTACAATTGTGTATTTCATTCTATTGTAAAAATATTTTTATAGTCCTACAAAAATCTTTTGCAATTTTTTGTTTAGCATATTTTTGTTGGAACATTTGTATTACAGAAGTCTTCTAATAAGTAATATGCTTTATTATTTTATTTTCTATATATTTATCAATTTTACTAACCTTTCTGAAAGGGATCAACTTTCATTATATACATTTCAAAATGTTGATTTACAATAAAAATTGGAATATAGTACATATGCTTATCATTTATTTAAAATATATATGTTTGTATTATTTGATTTTAGCGAAGAAATTATATTGCCAAAGCTACTGATGTAGATCGTGAAAAAACCGAGCTCTGCTACTTCAGACAATCCGATCTGGTAACGAATATCACAGCAAATCTATTTACTTGTGTTGTTATGATTTTTGAGGACAATTTTGTAAGTAAGAATTATACTATGTGTTAACATTACTATTCTAAAGTTCTAAATAATATTTTAGTATGGACTGGATTCTCACATTAATGTCCTTGTGGAAATTCAACCAATTATGTATGAAGTTCGTAATATTACCTATATGCCCTGGTTCAATTCCTCGCCAAGCTATAAGACAATGCTAGGTAAAACTACATTAAAGAATCCTAGTCGGGAAACTAAGCAAATATATGGAAGTATAAGCTATGCTTATGTGGAAAAAATAACAGTGAATGTCAGCACAATATATGGTGATAAATTAGAACCTTTGCCGATTTTATATGAACATAAGAACGCTGTTTTGGAATTGGATGGAGCTGGTAATGGTGGCTTAAATATTAAAGATGTAATAATCAATAATTCTATATAAATAAATTAAATTACTTAATTTTTTTTTTAAGTAGAAATCATTCTTTGGTCGTACCATGGATCCAAAATCCAGTGTTAAAGTAGATGTAACTGGACAGTGGGCAGAGCATCAACGACAGTTCACAGCTGATATTTATGAATACTTTGGTTATAACATTAAACGGTTCTATGACGATATAACACATGGCAAAGCCAATTTTGTCAAAATAGAGAGCACAGAACCAGTTTTTGAAACAATTGAGTCGAGTAATATGGCCAGCATTACAGTGCACAATGAACAGAATGAAAAAAAACCAGCGAAAACGTCAGAACGTCTTACAGAACAGCATCAGCATAAACACTCTGAAGTAGAATCTTTAACAGATGTACCAACAGGAAGTGGACATCCCTATCCTGGATTTTATCCCTATGCTGTCGCCGGTGCAATAATTATTGGCGCGGTGTTGTTGGTTTCAGTCATTAACATGATACGCATTTGCAGCAAAGAAGCAGAAAATAAAAAATATAAGCTGGCAAGAACATAGTATTTGTGCATTTGTTTTTTCATAATGCAATTTATTATTTTGTTGATTTGTTTTAAATTTTATATAGAAAACTTTTAATAAAAACTTCTTTCTTAATACACAACAAAGTTGTTTTGTTTACAAATTAATGGGAAACTACATGTAAGGTGTTGCCAACTACTTTTAATGCATTCAAAATAATTAAACTAAAAGAGCCCACACTACTAGCATTCACAAAATAAATCAACTGATGAGTTTCGTTTCTTTCTAGTTCCGCACGCTAAAAAAAAAAATCAAACAATCAAACTTTCAGTATCGTGGGTTGTTTTTTGACGCTCGCTTGAAAAGTTGCATGTATGTTTTGTTTGACGGATTTGTGTTAAGTGCAAATACATACTCATTATTTTTAAAACTTATACAAATTTCATTTAACTTGTATTCAATAATTACCAATAAAATAAACTTTTGTTTCCTAACATCAGTGAGAAAAATATTGAATTAAAAACAAACGAGCACGCAATAGTAATCAAATCTGCATTAACGTTATTTCGACTCTCTCCTTTACTTTCTTTCACGAGTTCTGTGAAGCAATTTGTATGATTGTGTTTATAAAATAAAAATAATATTACCATACCAAAATTTTTAAATAATTTACAGCTGCACACAAGTAAGTAAAACAATTAACAGTTTATTTTAAATTTTTTTTATAGAAGTATAAATTACGTGGCCAAAATAATTTATAACAGCGTTTATACAAAGAGATAAACGAAAGTATTATGATTTATTAGTATTGATTTATATGTTTTATATACAAGATGTTTCAACGATATATGCTGTTCCTTTATATTTCAAATTAATAGAAATGTAGAAGCACATTATTTCTTTGGTTTTAAGGACGTGTGCGAGTTAGGCTAAGTTGATGCTAAACCAAATGGGAAATTTTTTGGGATTTTTTGCACTGCACACATTTAGCCATTTATCAACACGTACCGACACATCACTACATTATCGGCACAACTTAGAATTTCCCTCATTTAGAACGCAACTTAGCCTAACTCGCACAAGACCTAAATATGCATATAATTTTGCTGAAGTCTTACTTCACTCTCCGGCTTAATTTACATATAAATATTTGAACACGAGTATGGAAAATATAAAAATATTTGTGGTATTCAGAATCTGGTAATGAGAAACTCGATATCCGAATAATATAAAACAAGTAATTGTAATTTAGCTTGTTCACATCCTTAATTTTAAAATCATTTTAATTCTGTTTTTTGAATTTGTTGTACACGCAAATGAAAGTATTGAACGATTCAATAATAGGTCTGTTCCACGAGCTACACATACTAAAACTCAAGTAAAAAACACAAGTAAAGAACAAACTGAAAGCGTAATACAAATAAAGTGCCAAATTACGCTCTTTAAACAGGTTTTGGTGAGAACACCAGTACTGCGCAAATAAACAACACAAAAATTTAAATTCAAATCAAATCAGCTGATTCACACATCAACACAAATTTTACTTGAAATAAAATGCACGAGCGAAGTGGAGCATTCTCTCAAATGCTCTCACTTACTAGAACATTTGCTTGTTGAACGTACTTGTGTATACACAGTGTTACTCAAAGTTACGACGAGTAGCTCGAGGAACAGATCTAATATGTTATCGTATCGCTATAAGAATTTTTCTTAATATCGCTATTCTACTATTGTGAATTACGATATTGATTTTAACGTGATTTTATACAAATTACAAAACAATAGTAATTTTGCTCATTGGATTTTTGTATGGAATCAGATTATAATTTTACCTTAATTTCTATTTTTGTGTTACGTTTACTTGCGCTGAGTAAACAGCTTATAATACTATAACAGTACAAATTGGTACCAATAATATACACTTTGAGCATTGTTTGTCATTACTATTATCTTCTGATTTTTTTCTAACATATATGTTATGTTATGAATTTGTGTAAAATTATAGATAATAAAAAACATTAACATCAAAAACAAAATATTAATAAAATATGATATTGAATAAATTTTTTAATGTGTGTATAAATATT